CGGCCCGTATGCGATGGATTTGTTAGGTATTGATGAGGCCTTGGCCAAATTGTACGAGGACACATTAGTGGGTTGGTAAGTGTCTACGGTTTCTTCCTTCGGTCTGCGGTTCCCATCAATTTCGTTTGTTTTCTGCTGTATGCCATATGCACTTGGTTGTCCGGACTGATCTGGAGACTGGCTCAGATTCGGTCAGCGCTGTGCCACAGTGATGAGTGTTGTACAAGACTCCGTTCACGCGAAATTTGTGTTGAAGGGGTAGTTTTACACTCGACAACATCACAACAAACTTGATTTTCGTTTCATTTCCTTGGTCTGGCCGATTTAACTATGAAATAATATGATATAATAATAAACATTTTTACTTACGTTTTGTTTATCGATTATAGAAATTTACGATAAAACTTCAGGAAGGGGGCTGCGGCCATACAAAGGCTGCTTGTGGAAGTACATATAATAGGAAGATGAGCGGTATTGGTGGGGCTTGAATTTGGAACCTCCAGGTAGTTGATTTAACGATCTTAGCACTCGACTACGCTGATCGTGATAGAACATTGTTTTCTGGGTCACGGTACGTTCGAACTATCACTAATGCCCTATTGTTTTTGATTAGTAATCTTTGTAGCTGCGGAATTTCATGGCAACAGAAAAACCCAAACGGTTCTTTTCATAAACTGAGCGAAATAAATTACCCTGACTGTGTGGTCTTTTCCTTAAGCAGTTATTACCCGGGGGGTTGAGAACATTCTTCTGAAGCAGAGTTTGATAGCCCTGTGTTTGACTTCGATAAGAAAAAAAGAGTAAGGACGAATATTCCTTATTTTAGCCATTTTGGGACAAACAGTAGACTTGAATGGAGATTCCTTACACTAGTTACGGACATGTATGCAGAAGGAAACAATTAGGTTGACCCCTAACATGATTATACTATTCCAAAGTGCAATGCATATGTATTGAGTAAGAATTCGAGGTTTTAGAAGGGCTAAAAAGGATTAGAGATGGGCCTGGTTGATTCAATTGCGATCGTTTCGATCTTGGATAAAAATCGCTTAGCTCGGAGAATATAATCAAGATCTTGGCTTAGCACCCGTACATTGCTGCCATTTGATACAAGCTGTGCGTGGTCGAATATTTCTAGTCAGCGCATACCCTCTGCCTATGTCCCCTAATCTTTACTTTTTTACCACAGTACGGCATAGGTTACAGTAAGGTACATGTCACTTTTCACGGGAAACGGATCACCTCTGTCCCACCACAAGTGGCTGACGTCGCATTATAGCAGGCAAACCTTAAGAATAATTAATTGTAATAGTAAAAATAATAATAATTAAAATGAACTTGTCTTTCACAATAAAACAACTACAGAAACTTATGAACAATTTTCAGTAGTTCATTGCCAAGGGTGGGGGAAAGAGACGGGTTCAGCGAGTCTTCCAGATGGACGTGGTTTTTGTTACGGGCGGTGTACACCTTACTGGGATACAATGAGTACTTCTTTTGTCCCAGGCATTCTTTGTGAATCGGGTCAGTTGTCTGGGATGATCTTTGTATTCGATGTTATCTGGTCTGCTCTATGGGGTAAATTTGAAACTCTGTTGTTCGTTCCAGTAAACAAACGCCGCAAATTTTTTACAGTTATATCGCTACACGGAGCATTTGATCCATTTCCCTATGTTAAAGTTAAATCTCTAAACATACACTTACTATTAATTTTCCAAATTACATAATTGTTTCCCTAATTGTTGACACTTCAGATTGTGACGTACTATTTTCCAATCTGTTGCGATTTATAGCCCTTTGGAAAACCACAAACGTGATGGTATGCAGGATGTTTCACAGCGAGAAGTGATTCGGTAAGTCGACGGTCCTCAGAATCTCCGTTCATGCACATTCCGCTATTTTATCCTCGACCAAAAAGAAACAGTCGGGATCCGCACTGCTCCCCATCTGTCATCTTGGTTATGAAATGGCTCAACTGCTCCATATGCGTTTACCCCTTCGGGATCTCGATTAACGGCTTTCGGCTGATTTTATCTTCGATTCTTGGTTTTTTTTGCTGAAGAAAAATACTATACTCGTTTTTGTGGTGTATGTGCAGAACTGAATTATTGATGAATTTCAATATTTTTTCCTTGGTTATGTTTACGCTTCATGAAACGAAATGGTGTGAATCCTAGCGTCTCTTATTTTTCCCGTTGGAGCGCATATTTGATGCGGATTAGAAACCTCGAGCTTTATTTGA